CCAATCTCAGATGGGTTCGAGAACCAATTCAGATCAAATCTAGTTCGGTTCAAACTCACCATGAGCAACATGATTTCAGTTAACACTTTCAAGCCAGATTTCAATTCCACGACGGAAGATATCCGGCTGTCAGAATTTATCAGTAGGTTTTCCCAGACCAGCTTAGGGGAACCACCGGAAGAATCATGACCGTTTTCTACCCGTAAAGGGAAGCCATTTTTAAACAAACTATTTGCAGCTTGGCTCAAGGCCAGAAGGGCTACCTGCCACCAAAACCTTCGAGTTCGACTACGTTCAGCTCTAAGGCACATCATTTGCAGAATAGCTTAAGTCGAGAAGGGCTATCTGCCAAAGACCCTCGAGTTCGACTACGTTCAGCTTCGAGGGCATAACATTTATAGCATAACTCAAGGCTAGAAGGGTTATATGTCAACACAAGACCGTCGAGTTCGACTACGCTCAGCTCAACGGCACATCATTTGCAGCATAACTTAAGTCGAGAAGGGTTATCTGCCAACCAAAGACCTTCGAGTTCGACTATGCTCAGCTCCAAGGCATATCATTTGTAGCACAACTTAAGTCTAGAAGGGTTGTCTACCAACAAAAGACCTTCGAGTTCGACTACGCTCAGCTCCAAGGCACATCATTTGCAGAATAGCTTAAGTCGATAAGGGCTATCTGCCAAAGACCCTTAAGTTTGATTACACTCAGCTTCAAGGGCATAACATTTACAGCATAACTCAAGGCTAGAAGGGTTATCTGTTAGCAAAGACCTTTGAGTTCGACTACGCTCAGCTCCAAGGCACATCATTTGCAGAATAGCTTGAGTCGAGAAGGGCTATCTGCCAAAGACTCCCAAGTTCGATTACACTCAGCTTCGAGGGCACATCATTTGCAGCATAACTTAAGTCGAGAAGGGTTATCTGCCAACCAAAGACCTTCGAGTTCGACTACGCTCAGCTCCAAGGCATATCATTTGCAGCACAACTTAAGTCTACAAGGGTTGTCTGCCAACAAAAGACCTTTGAGTTTGACTACGATCAGCTCAACGGCACATCATTTGCAGCATAGCTTAAGTCGAGAAGGGCTATCTGCCAAAGACCCCCGAGTTCGATTACACTCAGCTTCGAGGGCACATCATTTGCAGCACAACTTAAGTCTAGAAGGGTTGTCTGCCAACAAAAGACCTTTGAGTTCAATTACACTCAACTTCGAGGTTATATCGTTTACAACATAGCTCAAGGCAAGAAGGGTTATTTGTCAATAGAATTGTCGAGTTTGACTCTATTTAGCTCGATGATACCTCAATCACACTAATGTTCGGCTGCAATTGAGGTTTTCAAAGTCAAGATGAACACCTGGGTTAACCGTGCCTTAGTGACAAAAAACCGCTTTCCGACAGCATAGCTTAAGTCGAGAAAAGCCATCTGTCGGCGAGGACCTTTCGGGTTCGATTTTATTCAGCTCAAGGGTCTATCAATCACATGGTGGAGTCAAGGAACTACTTTACTGTCGAATTTTTAACCAAGGTCTTTAAATCGAGAAGAAGACCGAGGTTGACTACAATTGGACAACGAGAAGCCACGTTCCAATTCAAATTCCAAACCACAGCTTCAATTTCATATCATTTCAAGATGGACTCGACTTCGCGGCGGAGGAGCCATCCGCAACCCAATTCGACAGGGAGTTTTTCTTCAACTCCACTGAACGAAAATTTGTGTCTTTTTAACTTTGTCCTATTTTTTGTTCCACGAAAAAGGACAAAGAGGGGCAGCTGTAGACACTCATTTTCGTCTTTTATATATATATATATATATATTGTATAGTTTGAAAACATTTTTTTTAAACTATATATAATATATAGTTTTGAAAACATGTTTGAAAACATTTATATATTATATAGTTTTTAAAACATTTTAAAAATAAATATAATATATAGTTTTTAAAGCATTTTTGAAAATATATATTATATAGTTTTTAAAACATTTTGAAAATATATATAGTTTTTAAAGCATTTTTAAAACACATATATATTATATAGTTTTGACATTATTTTGAAAACTTATATGATATATAATTTTAAGAACATTTTTAAAAACTATATAATTTTGAAAACATTTTTTATAATAATATTATTATTATCGTTATTTTTTTTTATTTTTTTTTTATCTTCTATTAATTTTATTTTCATTTTTATTGTCAGGTCCATTTTGAGTCCAATAGAAGTCCAACGAAATTGGGACCTGAACCAGCCCAGCAGCGGATTAGGGTTTCAGGTTTCATCCTAGCGCCGCATTACAGGGGACCATTAGATCAAGAGATGATCAACGGTCAGGAAGCTAGGGTTTTATCTCACCCTCATATTATCATCAACAGCGCCGCACAAGTCAAGGAAACCAAACGGTCAAACGGCGCACCGACCGGCCGGGAAAACCGGGACTGCACCATCCCGGGATTCCCGGCTACGTGAACAACGTTAGCGCGAAGTACACGGAACAACCCCGTTATAATCGGAGCAGGCCACCAGTGGGGTGGGTATAAATACCCCACCACGGTGACACCAAAGGGGAACGGAGATAACCCCCGAGAACATTGCCAGAACATCGAAAGCCATAGCCACAGTAAACCAAGAACGAACCAAGAGAAACACAATACCCACGACGAACATCACAACACCACAACATCAACACAGTATCAACAGTACCAAAACAACCAACAACAGATCGAGAGAAAACCAAACGACAACAGATCAAGAATAACCAACCAAAACCCACATGCAAACATAACACAAAAAGCAAAAAGCAGTACGCGTCGGAACCGAGAAGAAACCACCGGAAAAGGCGAAAGGTCTCCGGAAAAGGTAAAAACCCGAAGGGTTTTTCTTTAGATCTACTCCGATAAGGGGGTTGTTTGGGTATTTGAGTGTTGATTTTGGGTTCACGGGGACGTGAGGTTTATTTTGGTGAGGTTCGGGTTTTCATAGGCCGCCGGCAGTGGCGGCCGACGCGGTGGCCGGAGCGGCGGAGGAGACACGAGGCGGCGACCGGAAATCGCCAATGGAGAGTTTTGAGAGTTGAGAGAGATAGGTTTTTTGAGATATGGTGAGAATGAAGGGAATAGAAGTGTTTTTGGGTATTTATATACCGAGGACTAAAATGAAAATACAGGATTTTTAAATCCTTTCCGTGATCCCTGTAAGTTTGAGTCGCAATTCGTTTTAGTCACCACATGCAATTTGGCCGCTGGATTTTCAATTGTTTCAATTTGGTCCTCATTTATATTTTACATATTTTGTAATTTGATCCCTAACTTCTTATTTTATTTCATTTATTTATTATTATCATGTTTTTTTTAATTATTATTAGTATTTTTACCTCATATGGTTTTCATTTTTACTTTTAAACCAATTTTTTATCCATTTAATACTTCTTTCTTTTTTATTTAATTTTAATTTTATTGTATTTTATTTCTTTGGTATACATATTTTCATTATTATTTTTCCTCCAGTTTATTTTTTTTAGTACCATTATTTATATATATTATTTTTCTCTGCCTAACATTTTTTCCTTTTTCAGTAATAATCTCAATTAATCAAAGGTAAGTAATGCGGTTCGAACCGAATTTTTTAAATTTCAATTTTAAATTTTAATTTTCGCAACTAAGACAACCGACAAATTAATTGGTACCGAAAGGACGGTTCAAGGGTGCTAATCCTTCCTTGACCGTAATCGACTCCCGAACCCGACACGTTTCTGGTACAACGCAGATAAGGTAAGATGGTGTCCGACCCACCTAAATTCGTTTTAAAGTGGTCGGTGGCGACTCCAACCCAATTCATTATTTACCTAAGTCGAAGCTCAATTCCGGGGCCCAACCGAAAGACGGTTACGACAGCGATAATATAAACTGCTTGTTAACATGATAACCGGGTATGATAGTCGTTTGAGACTCTATGATTATATTTTATCATATTACAATTAGCAAATTAATGTTTAACTCATAGTACTATCAATTTTTAACGTAAAAGGACGAGTTTGAAACATAATGAATACTCGGTGACAATTTTATAACTTTTAATAGTCGAGAGATTAACAAAGTAACACTTTATAGTCAGATGATCATTTTATAACTTTTAATAGCCGAGAAACTTAATAAAGTAGTATTTTATAATCGATAAACCATTTATGTACTTTACACATAATTAACTAGGTTTTAAATATTTTTTTAATTAAATCCATACAATTTTATATTTATATCAATGCTTTGGTGCCAATGGGCATTTGTGGCACCGAAATTGAAACCCAATCACCTCCACATAAAAACTAATAAATCAACCCTTTCGGGCTAAAAAAAAGCACGATAAGATCGAGAAAAATAATTATATTATTATCGAGCGTCAAAAAGCGGGACCCACCCGTAGCATTTTCTCAAGTTTTTAACAATTTAAATATAATTTGAAAATGTAGGGCCCACATTTTTTGAATTTCAGGTGCGTTTGCTGTCGTTGGTAATTCGATCGGACGTCTCAAATTCAAACCTAAAAGCAGGCATTTTGAATTGGACTTGAAATCATTATCCTAATTTATTTATTTATTATTTAAAATTACTTACGCACTACACTCTCAACAATTTTCGCCATATAAAAAATATATTTATTTTAAAAATTAGATTAAAATTTATAGAGATTATAAAATCCAGTCGAATGAATATGAGTTTAATAAAATTATCCTGTGCTGATACTAATTAATGAATTTATTTTAAATTTTAGAGCCATGGGTACATGTTAACGAATTTAATAAAATTTATATATTTTAATGTCTTTTTAGATATTTTTTTAAAATGATTTAAAATATTTTCCCTAAAAAAACTGTCATTTTCAAGATTTTAAAAGATTTTACACATATTAAATTTAAATTAAGATAGAGGGAGGGATATTTATGGAACTTCAAGCTCTGTTTCATATTTCAAAACTCCAGTTTATATAGAGAATAGAAACGAAAGCAGGTTTTGAAGATCAATAAAGAAAGCAGATTTTCTAAACACGCAAAGGGGGGTGGGGGAAGAAAAGATTAAGAAGAAATGGGAGATGTTGTTTTGTTTATTGATGATTTATCATCGAAGAGTTGTTCGATTTCACACTGTAGAATTTGCCATGAAGAAGAGCTCGAAAGCTTGAAGAGCTTGGAAGCTCCCTGTGCGTGTTCTGGCTCTGTTAAGGTGAAAATTTATAACACTTGTTTTTCTTCTTCTTTTGATCTAATGCTTGTTTTGATTAATGGGTTTCTTATGTTTCAATGATTCAATTCCTTTTTCTAATTGTCTGTTCTCAGTTCGCACATAGAGATTGTATACAGAGATGGTGTAACGAGAAGGGAAACACAACTTGTGAAATTTGTCTTCAGGTTTGAAATCTAACCATTAGAGCACCAAAAAAGTAGACGAATTTCAAATTTTTAAACCTTCATTTTTGTTTTTCTTTTTTAAATCAAACTGGATGATTTGTTGATCAGGTTTCTTTGTCCTTAAAGAATGTTGCTATAATCGTTTATTTTCCTAGAAAAAAGGTTACCCGGAGGTTTATTTAATCATGTCAACGAACAACTTACTGTATAAAATCATGCAGAAATATGAACCGGGATATACAGCAATGGTGCCTTCGAAGAAATCTCAGCTGATTGAAGCTGCAGTAACCATTAGGTAATTTTTTTTTAAGAAAAAGTATGTAATTACATGCTTTTTTAATTATTATTAGGTTCAATAAAAAGTAATAAAATTTTTGGAGTGTTGTTTGTTCTCAGAGATAGCCTGCAAATTCCCAGAAGAGAGGTTGAACCACAACACCAAGCAATGAACAACGGAAATGAATTCTCTCAATGTAACACAGCCGCTGAAAGAGGCGCTACTTGCTGCCGATCAATGGCACTCACCGTACGTTTAACCCTTTACACCGTTTCTAACAAACGATTGATTTTTGAAGGCTTAAATAAAATGGGTGTTTTAAGTGTTCACATGCAATTTTGCCAGTTTACCGTGGTTTTGCTCGTGAAACATCTATTTGCTGTCATCAATGGCGAAACAGATCAATACCCGTTTGCACTTCTTATGGTGAGTATTCGATTCCATTGCCCTCTCTTACTGTCGTCGGAGCATCGTGCTGATTACCGGAATGAATTTTACAGATACTGCTTTCGAGAGCAGCCGGAATTTTACTCCCAATGTACATAGTGATTCGGTCGATTACAGCCATTCGGAATAACTTTCGACGACAGCAACGGCACGGTTCCGATGAAATCGCCAGCTCTGAGGATGAAGACGACGATTGAGCATCAATGGCTCGACAGACAATCTTATTGTAAGATCTTAATTGCTTCCTCGTTTGTAATTCGAGGCATTATACTGATGCCCAGCTTATCCGAATTCATCGTTTTTTTTCCGCCATCAATAGAAAATTTTCATAAAATAATGATTTTGTATTACGGATTAATGGCCGTTTGTGCGGTTTATTGATATCAACATTACAGTACCATTGACATGTCACAAAATTTATGAAACAATCATGTCGATAAATGATCACGAATCAAGCCCAATACGATCATTTGCACCAACCCAACAAGCATACCATTAGTTGAGCGTTACTTGTTTATGCTCATGATTGTTCTTCGAATTCTTTTTTATTAATTAACATTTCTCTTATTCAAATATCCTTAAATATAAAGTAAGTGTCCAAATTATAGTGTTTTTCGTGAATATATGTCTAAATTATTTTTTAATGATCTCGGTGCCTAATGTTACAAACATTATTACTTTAGGTGTATGGGTCGTTAACGTCGTTAAGTCACATGTGTCACAATCTGGTAATTTTGAATTTTTTTAAATATTAAAAATATAACTGCATTTATAAAAAAAATTATAATTTCTCTTAAATTATAAAAAAGCGCCAAAATCCACAAATCTTAACCCTAGCCCATTGTCATCCTCCTAATGATACGCAGTCATAGTTGTTGTCGATTGGCTCTTGGAATCGTGTGGGATAGTGATTTTATCCTAGCCGTGAGGTATAAAATGTCGATTCGTCGTCGATCGGTTACGATTTCGTAGGAGTTTTGGTCACCTGGGGAGGTGAGATCGGGTTGAGCTTTGTCAACGACAAAGGGTGGCGATTGACGTGTGTTTATGAGTTAAAATGAACGTTTTTAAAGTTTTAGGGTTATTTCAAAATTTTTGTTTTTTAAATATATAATTTTAATTTTTTTAATTTTTAAATACAATTTTTAGAATTAGCAGATTGTGATACATGTTACTTAATCGAGAAAACTAATGTCGTTGTCGGCCAGGGCACCTAAAGTGGTAACGTTTATAATGTTAGACACCATAATCATTCAAAAAAATAATTTATGCACCTATTCATAAAAAACACTATAGTTTGGGCATTTATTTTATAATTCAGTCATTCAAATATAATTAACATTACTCGTATACAAATACAAAACTAACTTTCGATGCACGAACTAAATTACTTCAATGATTAAAGAAATGATTGATTTTTCTGGAAGTCTCAGATTCAAGCATTAGAAATTACAAAGTGTTTAAACATTCATTATTAAATGATTAAATCTTTAGAACAAATAGTATCATTTCTAAGCATCCTAAATTAATAATAATAAAAAAAAAGGTGACCTTCGACTACGAGTCTCACTACTTAATCGTGTTTGTTTTCTATCTTAAATTCTTCAAATTCTCATAAAATACAATTAAAATTGTCTTCATTTAAATGTCTCTTTATATAAGAATTTGGGTAGAGGTAAAAACAAGATAATACTTTCATTAATGATGTACATAGAGAGAAAAAATGTATTTTTAATCCCATGCAAAACGATAATTAATAAAATGTATTATTAATCCTCATTTAAATACCTCGTTTTATAAGAATTTGGACAAAAATCTTTGTATACCATCACAAAGATAATAAAATGTATCGTTGACAATATGTTCTGTATTTTTCAAAGTATCATGTTCATATTTTTGTACTATGTTGACAGGGATATAGCCAGGATTCTAATTCAGTAGGGACAAAGTATAACTTTTCTAAAAGTAGGAGTAATTTATAATTATTTTATAAATATTTAAATTTTTACATATAAATACCAATAATTAGTTGTTATAATAGGATGGGTTATTAAATCTCTTAAATAAGATCAGGAGTTCAAAACATAATATTGTGGAAGAAGCAAATTATATTAGAAAGATTACTCTTATAATGAAGTTATGTAATCAAGATATTGAGTCAACACATCAAATAAGTGTAACAGGAAAATTTGAGTGAACACCTTTTTTCTCTTTTTAGTGTCCGATTATTTGCTTGTGTGCGTAATAGTAATAATTTCTATCTCCATGAACACATACATTTATAGTAAAAGTGTTTAACAAATCCTTCTTTATTTATGAAAATATCTTATTAGATATCTGTGATTAATTGCCATATTTCATATCATTTATAAAAATATACGCAAAAATAAATGAAAAATACATAATTTATTCAAACATAAGTTCACATCTTATGATCAATCATGAACTACCACCCTATAACCTTCTATGTAATTTTAATTCATAAAAGTTCATTTTATAATCGTGTTAATCGTGTTAATCGTGTTAAATAAAAACGTGTTAATCGTGTTGTATCTCAAAAAACACATGTCGATCGAATCGTATCGTAATTTTATAATAAAATCACGTGCGATACTGAAATGTTAGTATTCATCGATAATCGAATATTCATTTATTCTAATAAAGTGAACAATAAAATTAAATAAACATATAAACTAACTAACCAACACAAAAATTGAAATGTGTTGAGTTTCTGTTGGAGATAAAAGCATAATTAATAAACCCAGAATTCAGTTTAATTATATAATTACCGTGGGCTGGAATTGTTGTTTTGGGGAGAAAAAAAAGGGCTAAAAATCTAATATCAGAGTTGTGCATGAAGCCAAACGTGCATGCCTTCTATTTAAGCCATTGTCTTTATTCATATTTTGAAATGTTCCAAAAGAATTCTTCAACAGAAACAACCTCCGACTGTGCAGTAATTCGTCAGGTCTTCACTTCAACTTTCTCCGAATCTTATTTTCTTTTGTTTTTCTGATGCAAGCTCAGTTCATTCTTCTGTTTATTGTGTTGTACTCGAAAGAATATATATGTTTGCTGAGAATTAAAAGTTCAAATAAGTGAATCTTTTTATTTAAGGAAAAGAAAATATGATGAGATTGTGTTTCTTTGAATACAATTATACGTATTTAATATGCATGCAAAGAAAAGGAGACAGTAATTTAAGGAGACTGAGAGATTGATAATGGATTTTCCTTCACATCAATGGAGATTTTCCCATGGTAAAGTTCAAAGTGATTAACCATGGCTTGAGAAGAAAAACAAAAGAGAAGAATTGTTTTTTTACAACGTAAAAAAAAAGGCTGGTTTTTTACTTTTTAACCAGATTTTCTTGTTGAACATTCCTTCATCATGCAGAAACTTTTCATAATGAAGCTCAGCGTGTTGATCGCGTCACGGCCTGTCACTGTCCTCATCCCTCTGGTAATTTTTGTAGTCATTGTAGAGAAATCTGTTTGAGGCTTTGTTTGGAAGATTATTAAAATGATTTGATTTTGTTCATGGTTCTGGATTTTTAACGCAGGCATTGCTGGTTTTGCTGCCTCCAAGTGTAGTGATCACATGGTGGTACAAAACAACAAGACAAATTGGAGAAAATGTGGAATTGAATACCCAGATTTTGCATTCTGGATTTCTATCACAAATTGACAGCATTGCAAAATCAATACCCCCATTGAGTTCATCTGCTGCAAATTTAGTCATGCTTCTGAGTTCTTCCTTCAACCTAACTGATGAAATCTCATTGACTGATATTGAGACTAAAGTATGTATCATCATCTTTTTCGATATCGAAATCGGAAGATATATAACTAGGAATGTCCTACTTTGTTTCTAGCATTTTCAACCATTCCTAATCTGTCTCAGATTTCATATGTTGGATCAGAGGGTCTGTTTTTCTGCTACTATTTTGATGGACATCAAACTCTATCAGCATATGCTAACTCTTCGTCTTTGTCGAACCGAAGGCGGTATGTTTGGTACAAGCAACCAGTAGATACTCACACAGGGAAGCTCTATGGAGAAGCTGTTAGATTCCGTGGCTTCAATGTTGTGAATACGAGCTGGTTTCAAGCAGCATTGCATGATTCATGGGGATATTCTTCTGTCGAAAACAGGTGGAAAAGTGTTGGTGAACTTTCGTTTCTTACCAGTGTTGGCATGCTTGGAAGAGGTGTTATTTCCATGGGAGTTCCAGTGAAACGATTAACCGATCTCGCTTCGGGTTTAGATCTTTATGGCGGAAGCTTAAGCTTGATCACAATGGATGGACAATTGTTGGTTGATGGAATCCCAAACAGCAAATTCATCTCTGTTAATAACTCCATTGTCTTACAAATAATGAATCCAAGTGGTGCTCAAAATGTTTCATGTACTACCCCAGAAATCTATAACTTGGACAATAGTGAAAAAAAGTATAGTGTTAGTTGTTCAGCGGTCGAAATCGCCGCAGTGCAATTGGTAGGTTCGGTTTTAATTCTATCTGCATTCTTCATTTTCTCTGAAGTATTGATATCGGGCTCGTATTTAATATGTTTTGGTTTGGTTTCAGGTATATGCACTGGCATCGCCTCGAAAAGGATTAGCTAACCTTGTGCACAGAAAAATCAACCATTCTCACATTGCTCTTATAGCAGCGATTTTATTTCTGGTGATTGCACTAATGTTTTTCATATCCTCAATGGGCAGCGCTGCTCAAAGGGAGATGTGCCTGCATGACAAGCTCATAAAACAAATGGAAGCCACTCAACAAGCCGAGAGAAAAAGCATGAACAAAAGCCTTGCCCTGGTTGGCGCCAGCCATGATATCCGAGCGTCGTTGGCCGGCATTAATGGTTTCATCGATTTATGCCTTGTGAATGTGTTCCCCAGGTCCGATTTCGAGTCGTATTTAAAGCAAATGAGTCATTGTGCGCAAGATCTATTAGGTAAATTAGTTCCTTTGCCTTTTGCTGAAAACTTACTAGTATTTTGGGTCTAATTGGTTGCATATGATTTACAGGGTTGCTTAATTCCATACTCGATACAAGTAAAATCGAAACCGGCATGATGAATTTGGAAGAAAAAGAATTCAATTTGGCAGAACTGGTTGAACATGTAGTTGATTTGTATCATCCTGTGGGTATGATAAAGGGTGTTGATGTTGTTTTGGACCCTTGTGATGGATCTATTATCAAGCTCGCACAAGTAAAAGGTGACAGAGGGAAACTCATGCAGATATTAAGTAATGTGCTAAGCAATGCTGTT